AGGTTAATTCACAGCAAAATTCCAGTTGGCCTAAAGGTATCATAAAAATGTGCTTTTCAGGATTCTTATCCAAAGAGCACATTCCGGAATAGACACACTTAGTCTCTGCCTTTGAAAAACTCCTGGTTTGAATTTACTGCAGTATTCAGGACTTCTTTGGGGCACTGAAAAGCCTACAGTGAGGTACAGTTGGGAAGATGAGTATGAGGCCAAAGCTGTAAAAGTTAATGGGTCAGTTTTTAATCAAGGACCATCAGGGTACTAATCTCCAGCGAGTCCCTTCCTCTTTGTCCAAGGCTCCCTGTAATTTACCTTTGAGAAAAGCATATATATTCAATTAACAAATATCCCAAATGTGACATGCCATATAAAATATAAAATATTCAACATCTTTTTCCCTATAGAGCTACCATCTAAGAAAAGAGTCTTTAACTTTTTTATGGTATCATGGACTTCTTTGGTGGTCTGGCCAAATCTATGGACTCCTCAAAATATTCTAATTCTCTTTATATTGAAATAGTTATCAAAATATTTTTAAAATAAGTTTATGCTATCTGCCTCCAGAGAAAGAAAGAATTCCTCTTCCATAAATAGAAATATGTGTAGAATAATTTTACATATATATATATATACATACACACATACATACATATATATACACATACACATACACATGATGAGGCAGATAGGAGCGCTTGATGCAGATGGAGCAAACAGGATGCAAGGATGTAAGACATGAGATAAAATGCAGGATGTGACCAGCCAAAAAAGTGCTCAAGAAGACTATGCATTGATGCCCCCACCTCAGACTTATCTGTATGCATCCACAAAGCACCCCTAGCTATCTAACATTCCAGAACAGCTCTTCCCCTCCCCTTTCCTGTTCCCCTTGTTTATCTGTGTACATACAAAGACACTCTGGATTACAAGATAGTCCAGGCATTTGAGTGCTGCTTTCCCCGTATTCTTCTCATGCTCCCCCTCCCTTCATCCCATCAAATTGTATATAGACCAGACACTTAATCTGGCTAAATGCTCTGTCTCCTATGGAGAGCAGGCCCCCATGGTGCTCTGGCCTCGCATAAGGAACAGAGTCCACTGGGTGCGTCACCCCCCAGTAAACATCTTTATTTAATTTGGAGACAGTCTGAATGAATTAATTCAAGACAACTTGACCCATAAGTCCGTTCTTTGTCATTCTGCACCCCAACATTTTGTGGTGCCCCTGAACCCCAACATATATACACCTATTTGTGTCTAATGGTAGCCATGGGGAGGGCAGAAAAAAGGAAAAAATAAATTTACATGATAACTTATTATACATTAAAAGAAATAGCAAGTTATAATAGATTTGCAGTTTCATGTGCAGTCATCTTTTTTATTATGCTTTGTTATAGAAATGCTTGTTTTATTTCATAAATTTAAAATAAAATAAATATTTTTAAAAACCTTACAGACCCCCAGGTTAAGAACCCCTGATCTAGGATATAATTAAATCAGATTTTTTAAAAGATCCATTAAGGACAATCAGTTCACTTTACAAAGGATTTTCCTTTAAATAGCTAGCTACTCTATTGCATTTAAAACTATACTTCATGTATCTATTTTTAAAGGAATTTCAGAGAGAGAAGAAACTCCCTACTTCAATCAACAAGCACTTATTAAGTATCTACCATGTGCCAACCACCGTGTTAAGGGTTCAGGATAAAAAAGAAAAATGAGATAGTATCTGTCCTCAAGTTTACTCTCTTTTTCAATTGGAATGTCAGAGATGAAATAGAGACATCTTATGAATAGAACTATTGAGGGTCATATATTAGTAACCTCCTGTAAGCAATACTTATCCCCTTTATTTTCCTCTACATGCTAGGATTAAACATCAGGCTTCAAGGGAGCTATCTATGATGGTGTTTTTGTTTTGTTTTGTTTTTAACTTTTTTAGGCAATTGGGGTTAAGTGACTTGCCCAGGGTCACACAGCTAGATGGTACTGTTTTATGGAATCTAAAGGTCTCTGATGGGTTTCCAAAGTTATTGCAGAAACAATATGGCACCTAAAGAGGCCACTCTGATACTAGCTACATTCTATAATAAAGGTGGATAAATACATAAATAGGAAAATTGGATAAATTTGCAGCCCTTAGTCCAACACTGAATTCTGGGGTTGCATGGATCAGGTTCAATCTTGGGGATTATAGTAGGAGTAATATCGACCCAAGTCCCCTACCAAGTGGACTAGGCTATTTCTTTTTCTTTAAAAGATTTTGAAACTGTTTTTGAGACTTAAATGGCTGTAGCGAATGAAGCCTCTGATTGATTGAAGTTGCTCTCTGGACAGGGGTACAAAAAAGCCATGAGAAGCTCTAGCTCCTACCTGATGCTTAACTGACTACCAGACCACCATGAGCAACTCAGACACAGAGGAGTTTCAAGAAGCTGAATCAAAGCAGAGAGCTCACTGAATATCCCTATTGTGGCTAAGTAAATCTTCTTTTGTTAATTGTTAGATGAATTAACAGTGTCTCATTTTGTTCCAATCTCTAACTTAAACTACCAGGGGGCTGGCATGATTAGCCCTTGCCTACAACAAGGCTAACCCCGACATTTATATCAATTTATTTCATCATGCCCTCACCTAGAGTTTAATCTGAGAAGATCTCTGAAAATAGCTTATGTCTAGGGCTCCACAGATGTGGATAGAAAGGTCAACAGACCCCATACCACCATTCAATAGCCTTTATTCTACTCCAAGAAAATACAAAACACACATAAAGGACTCATAGTAGCTCATAAACAATCAACACTATCTTCCTCCCTCTTTGATGAATCCCATTTTGACCGGGTCCTAAAGTCCTCCAGAGCACCACCCAATGGTTTGGATAACCCTCAAAAGAGAAAGGAACTTGGAACTGTCTTGGGACCGGGAGGTCTAAGCAACTCTTCATTATTCCAATGAATCCTGTTTTCTGCAGGAATAAATGCAACCCTCCAAACTCATAGAATCACTCTCTAATCTGGACTATTTTTCTCCTCTCTCACCAAGAAGAGAAATGCTTACTCCTTTGACACGTACGTGTCCAATAAGTCCAATAGGACCTACACAACCTGAATCATTCACAATAATAGTGGAGCCTAAAGAGGTGCCTTGCTCCTCTATAGTTTATATCATCGCATTAATTCCCTTTTGCTTTTCCTCCCAACGCTGGTGACCATGATCATAATACTATTCTCTGGCTGAAAGAAATGTTGCCTGGGAAATTCTTCTTTTACTGGAAGACCACATCCTGAATTCTTGACATTGTGGCTGTTACTGAGGCAGCTCTCCAGACTATTGCTAACAGGGAATCCCTCCTCTCTTGGTAGAAGGCTAGACCACTGTCCTGTGGTACTCAGAAACTTCTTCATGCAACAGAAGCCTGAAAGCCAGCCTACTTTCAGGGACTCAACCCTTGGCCCATATGGTCCTTTTTATCATAACTACTTACGGTGCAGAGGTTTTACCATTGTCACCTCCAAGGCCTTGGACAGTAGACAGGAGGATACAGTAGAAAGTACACTGGACATGAAATCAGAGGACATAGTAGAAAGTACATTAGATATGGAATCAGAGGATCTTGGTTCAAATTCCAGCTCTTACATTAACTGCCTGTGTGACCTAGGGCAAGTCACCTTCATCTCTCTGGGTCTTAATTTCCTTAACTGTAAAAGGAAGAATTTGGACTACATAGTGTCTCATGTCCCTTCTAGGTCTAAATCTATGATCCTATGTCAATGGACTCTCCTCTTGAGCCACATGGACAGCTCATATATCTCATCATGGGCCTCTGCCTCAGACAAGCCTCTTGCAGCTTCTGAAAGGTACTGATTCTACTACCTCTACACAGCTCCACTCAAACCTGCTATACTCAGGATCTCTCTGGAAGAAGGGGAAGAGGGCCCAAAAGGTTGGTTGGCTCCTTTTGATAGGCCAACACAAGAGGATAGCTCTTCCCACTTTGTCCATCTCACAGGAATCTGAGCCAATCAATTCATCTTGAGGGCAGTTCTAGTCATTAAGATTTGTCTACCAAGGTGCTCATCCATATTCTCAAAAGAAAGAGATGGTCAAGTCCTAAGTAAAGGCTTATAGTACTAGCCTGAAAGTTCAAATATGGCAAAGAATTATTTTGATAAACCTCTTGACAAAAAAAAGAAGCAAAGAACTGATTTTTTCCTCTGTACTTCTCAAACCACAATTAATCTCCTGTCTCCATGCCTTTGCATTGACTGGCCACCATACCTGGAATGTATTCCCTCCTCACTCCACTCCACAGACTCCTCCTTCAAGACCCACCTCTAGCACCAACATCTACATGAAGCCTTTCCCTCATCCCCCAAATGCTAATGGCCTCTCTCCCAGCCTACCCTATGCCTAACTACTTTGCTTTCATTTGTATTCATTCTCTCTCTCTCTCTCTCTCTCTCTCTCTCTCTCTCTCTCTATCTATCTATATATATATATATATATATATATATATATATACCTATATATATCTATATATATACACATACATATACACACACATACATATGTAAATATATATAGTCTGTACATACTTGTATATGTCCTTGTTGTCTCCATTAGAATGTAAGCTCCTTGCAAATAGACTTGTATAATTTATAAATTATATGCATGGATTGTTGTACTAATAACTGGGTCCATATAAAACTTATACAAAATGGGAAATTTTTTATTAATTTATTTATTTTTAGCTTTCAACATTCACTTCCACAAGGTTTTGAGTTCCAAATTTTCTCCCCATCTCATCCCTCCCCCCAGCCCATAATGGCATACATTCTGAATACCCCTTCCCCTAATCTGCTCTCCCTTCTATCTCTCCCCCACTTTTCTTATCCTCTTCCCCTCCAATTTTCCTGTAGGGCAGGATTTCTATACCCCATTTCCCGTATATCTTATTTCAAAATGGGAAATTTTTAAAGGGTGAGATAAAGACTGTCAACTCCTAAAACAAATGACGAAAGAGTAACAGAAGTTACACTATCACTGTTAACTCTAAAAATACCAAAGAGCTCACACAGGTTATCACAACCACAGTCAATTCTGAAAAATAAATAGCAAAGAGCTAACGGTGGTTATAAGCAAAAGGCTTTTTTTATTCCATTGGAGGAGAGAAGCTATACACAAGTGCAACGGCTTCCTCTAGGAAGAGACCCACTTTATCAAAGCCAAACTTTGACACGTAGAGCAGTGGCTACTCAGTGAGCTATAGCTGTGACAATGAGAGGTAACAGCAACAATGAGAGAAGTCTGATTCATAGAGGGCTTCATGACCAAAACATGGTCCCTGCAGGTATTTGTCCAAGCTCAGGGACCACCTGTGGCTGGTGTGGAAACAATTCTGGGATTTTGCTGCAGCAGAGATCATCCAAAGGGTGAGCACAAGTGATTATTTTTATGCCAAGCTCAGGGCACAGCTTGCTTGCTGGGCCTTAGCGCTGGAAAACAGGGTGTCTCCTAATAGTAAAAGAGAAGAATGAAAAGAGGGGGGAGTTTGGTCTTGGCATGGGGATCCTGACAAGATAAAATACTATTATTCTAGAGCCCTTAGGGGGCCTCTGGAATTTATTGAGGAGAGCAGTGGCATGGTCAGATCAGTGTTTTAAGAAAATCACTTTGGCAGCTAAGTGGAAGAGAAACTTGACAACTGGAGTTGGGAAATGTAAGGAAATGAGTATTGGTGTGGTTGTGTTGGAGGCAAGCACCACAACTATCACTATAAAGGTGAGATATGACTCGACTTCCCACTCTCCAACTAGTAGGTTACATACCTCTTGAGGTAATATACTTCTTAGGGAGCCTCAGCCTCTATCTTGGAGACCACTGACTTATGTCATGACTGGCTTAGATTATGATGGCTGATGAGCATTAGCAATATTAGATCCTTTCGTAGAGGTAGCTAGGTAGCTATGTGGATAGAGTGCTAGGCCTCAAGTTAGGAAAATCTCACTTCAAATTTAGTTTCAGAAGCTTTAAAGCTATGTGACCAAGTCACTTAACCTCTGCTTGCCTCAGTTTCCTCAACTGTAAAATGAAGATAATCCTCTCAGGGTTGTTGTAAGTACCAAAAAAGGTAATAATTATGAAACAACTAGCACAATGCCTGGCACATGTAGTAGGTGCTTAATAAATGCTTCTTCCCTTCCCCTTGTCCCCCACCTCATTCCTAAGGTAGACCTTAAACTGATCAGAAACATTACATTTACACCTATACATTTTTAGGACCAAGAAATCCTCGTAAAGTTTAGGAACCAGGAAATCACAATACTTATGCATTATAACTGCTAATTCAACATTGGATAATTGTAAAAAGTTATCAGAGAATCACCTACTAGACCTACCTTACATATTTCAGTTAAATCCTCTAGTATGTGAGACTAGAGAGAGATGGATCACACAACATTTCCTGAACCACCAAGGTTTTCTTTAGCTGGAACATTTCAGTCTTTATGGATCCAGGCTTCAGACATTTTGTATATTGCCTTTTATGTAGAAAAACTCTGTTCCTGGCCCATCATCTCCTCAACACACACTTTGAACTGACCTGTGAATTATTTATCTAATGGAGGGAAACAAATAAAAATCCATTATCATCCTCCTCTCACCTAGGGGGGGAAAGATAAATATTTGCAAAATAACTGACCAAAGTGAGGGACAAAGTATGTGGCTGCAGAATAGAGGTAAACTAACTGACCCATGACAGAATTGAACACATGGCCTCAGCTTCCTTTTTTTACTGCCCTCTAAAACAACTGTGTTAGCCTGCCGGAGGTGACTCAGGATTACCCTGTGCTATGAAACAAAGGACTCAGTCATCTGAAATAATATTGGGTTGACTTGAGAATTTGGAAGCAAGAGGAAACAGAGTAGAAGTACAGTGGGTTGGGCCCTATGCCCAATTCCGCAGCATGAAAAGTAGTGAGCTGTTTTTGTATTACTCTCTCAATTCAGTTTACATTAGCCTGGCAATGTTCACTATCTCTGTCATCCAGATGACCAGCACACTTAAGTTGCTGGTCACTCTGTTCTTCATTTAAGTAAATGTGGATGTCACAATGCGGGGAGGGGAGGGGGGGTCAGATCTATATATATCCACTAAGATTTAGGAGAGGAGAACATCATTCTGGTCTGCCAAGGATCACCGAGAAGTCAAGGCTCAATAAGGAATGCACATTCAGGGCTGAGCAAAGGGGATATATTGGGCAAAACCTGGGAAGTCACTGTCACATAGACAGGTCCCCAGAAAAGCTATTCCCAGGTTCAAAGCACCCCAAAGGTCAGGATCCGCTCTGAACCACAGTTCGTGAGCTTTCACTTATTTTCCAGCCAGAGAATACAATTAGTTCAGAGCAAAAGCATTTAATGAAATAGCATATTTTAATAGTAGAACACTTCACCCAAAACCCAGAGACACTCTCACCAATGCACACGTCATCAGTGACAATAGTGAGTGTATGCAGAGAATGTGCATGGAGAGACACACATAGGGAACTTGTATGAATGAATGAGCAAATGAATGAAAAAGCATTTATTAAACATTTATTATGTGCCAAGCACTGTACTAATCACTGGGGACACAAATAGAAAAGTAAAACAGGCTCTGATCTGGAGGAGATCACTTTCTAATAGAGGGAGACAGAACATATTGGAGGGTAAAGCTACAAGTCAAATGGAAAGACCCTGTGGACCTCAGGGTGAAGTGGCAAAGCATATGGTAATATATCTTTTTTAAAGTCAGTTTCACCAATAAAGCCACATCCATTTCTGATATTGAAAATGTCAAGGAATTTGGTGGCAAGAACTTTCTTTTTCTGATCTTCAGTACCTGTGGCTGCTGAGAAGGCAGAGGTTACAGTACCTGCAAAAGAAGTTGCCAGGTCACATGCACATGGGCTTATTCCTTGGGTGATGGCTAGACTGAGAGCAAGGCTGCTGGTCTTGGGGAAGGCAGGGTGCCACACCTGGGCCCAAGGTCCTCGGACCTCTTTATCCAGGTCTGGGGGTAGGTGGTTGTGGTTGGAGTGTGTGGTGACGGTTTGATTCTCCTGACACATACCTCTTATCTCTCCCTCAGGGTGGCTTCAACTAAGCTGGCTTGCCTATCCTGTGGTTGGTAGCTGCTGGGATGCTTGGCTCCTTCTCATCAGGGGTTAATTTCCTGGATAATGGCTACAGAGGCTAGAATGGAGGCAGGCCAGTGGTGACAGGGATGTTATATCTAGAGCTCTTGGTCTTATCTGCCTATCAATGACATTTGGTAAGTGGTTAGTGTCAGTAGTGGCAAGGATTATTTGTAATTCTCCATAGTAGTTGTTCCCTTGTATGTATGGCCAAGTGCAGTCATAGATGGAGACACATATAGGGAACACATGGTTAGGGCACATCTCTATGAGCACTTACATGTAGAGAACATGTGTGAGCAGAGCACAGACGTGAAGGGACAATTTACCTCCAAAGCTACAGAGACAGCAATGTTTTCTTGTGCTGCTTCCCATGGGTCTCACCACACAGTGTCTCTGCTGGGTTTGTAACCATGGCATGAGGGCTCTACTGGGCAATGCTCTGCTGGTCTGCTGGTCATTGCTAGACATAGCTCTGAGGAACACATAGTTATGGGACTCCTTTCAATTTCCAGTTCCTTGCTTTAGTGCATAGACTCCCAAACTGGGTGATACCACCCCCTGAGGAATGCTAGAATGATCCAGGGGGGTAGTAGTAGCCTTGGGTACAATTGGGGGGCATTGAATAAAGATGAAAGGGTGGTAGAAGCATAAGGAAAGAAAATATAAGAAAAATTTTGAAAAACCACTCGTACATGTTTCATCTGCTATGTAACAGAGTTAAAGTCATAGTGATTACATTATTTTTCAAATAAATACATAAAATGCAAGTTATAACCAATCAGTGGTCAAGTCCGCCTACAGGTCTTAACAAGTAAGTGCTGGCAGGTAAGGGTGTCACCCATCCAGCATGCATTGGCAGGAATAAGTGAATGTAATGACTTGTTTATAATATGGTACTATATGGTAATATGACACGATATTGAGTCATCAAAATTTCAATGCAGGAAAAAACAAAAATTTACAGTAAATTATTAAATTTAAGATGTATCACTTTAAATATATTTAAAAAATTTTTTTTGAAATGACACAAATTTAAAAAAAAAGTTAAAGGGTTAAAGAAAGTAGATTTCCAGGAAAGCCCTGAGTAATTTTTTTTTTAAAGGGAGCAGTAAGCCAAATAACTTTGGGAACTCTGCTTTAGTGAGAGTCATAGGAACATAGTTTTAGAGACCAAAGTGACCTCAGAGACAATCAATCCCAACTCCCTCATATTATGCGTGTGTGTTTAGTCATTTCAATACTGTCGGACTCTTTGTGACGTCATCTGGGATTTTCTTGGCAGAGACACTGAAGTGTTTTACCATTTCCTTCTCCAGCTCATTTTACAGATGAGGAAAGTGAGCAAATAAAGTTAAATGACTTGCCCAGGATCAAATAGCTAGTAAGTGCCTGGGGCACTATTTGAACTCAGATCTTCCTGACTCCAGGCCCAGCGCCCTGTCCACTTCACCACCTAGCTGCGACACCACTTGACCATTACTACAATTTTACTGATTTGTTGAGTCATTTCAGTCACGTCTGACAATTTGTGATTTTCTTGACAGAGATACTGGAGTAGTTTTACATTTCTTTCTCCAGCTCATTTTACAGATTAATAAACTGAGGCACAAAGAAATTAAGTAATTTGCCCAGGGTCACATAGCTAGTAATGTTTGAGGCAGGATTCAAACTCAGATATTTCTGACTCCAAGGCCAGCACTCCATTCATGGAGTCTTCTACTGAGCTGCTATCTCTTCCTCATTAGAATGAGCTCTTATCATTTGTTTTTTATCTTTGAGGCCAAAGGCTTATTCTTGAGCTCTTTTAGTGAGTGAAATAGGCCCTTCATGTACACGCAAATCCTTAGCTGCTGCCATAGAGTTTATCAATTCTCAGAGCCTTGGCGATGTGAAGCATTTTTCCTCACAAGAAGAATAATTTGTCTCTGGAAGACAAGCTCTTTGGAAACATAGAACACCCAGACAATTAAGCAGAGTGTGCAGGAATTTAATCTGTCTGTTGAACTGCTTGTACTGTGAATTCAATCCCTATTTCAGGAATGGGGAATCTATAGCTTTCTAGATCCTCAAGTGTGGCCTTTTGACTGAATCCAAATTTTACAGAACAAATTTTGATTCAGTCAAAAGGCAGTACTTAAGGATCTAGAAGGCCACAGGTTCCCCACCACTCCTTTCTCCCAGACACCTATCTGATTTAGGGTTTAGAATGTGAGCTCCCTGACAGCAGGGACTATCTTCCTCTTCTATATCTATATCCAGAGCTGACTTAGCAAAAAGTACTCAATTAAGGCTTCATTCATTCATTTATTCATTCAGTCATGGCTAGAAACTCCTGAGAACCTTTGGATCATCACAAATGATAAAAGGGGGTGGGCTATGGAAAACAGGAACAAAAATCCTTTAGATGAAATTACACCTCCCTCTCAATCCTTTATTCCAAATTCCTGTCTTTATGGAGCCAAAAACAGGCCCCAAGGCTGTAAGTGTCCTATAAATGATGCAGGCCAAAGTGTGTTTTCAGGTGCAATTCATCTTCCTACTTTCCATTCCACTTCATTCATCAATACAGTGAGCACACAATGCAGTGGGAACACAAATCCACAAAAATGAACAGTGGATTTTTTTTAAATGAGTTTTTATCAAGTAACAGTCTGTGAAAGATAATTTGGATTACTAGCCCTCAGTAACACTTTTATGCCACTAGAGTCTAGAAAACCTCTCATACTAGACTTCTTGGCTCAGCTGAAACGAGCAGTTTTGGTGCCCAGGGTGAGCTTCACAAAATGTACTGGGGAAGCAGCAAGAAATGGGCACTCAGCTTCTAAAGACAAACACAGGGCTCCCAGAAGTATTTACATTTTAATTCCTTGTAGCTAGCTGTCCAACCTTCTATTGTGTATAGAAGTTTCTGTGCAGTTTATTTGGTCTTAGCAATGATTGCAGAATAATAGATCTGGAGGTGGAGAGGCCCTCAGAAGCCCTCAATATATCTTCATTATTCAGATGAGGAAACTAAGGTCCAAAGAGGTGAGATGCTTTGCCCAAAGTCATACAAGTGGTAAGCATCAGATTGACTCTAAAAACGTTCTTTCTGCTGGGCCATGCTGCAATGAAAGCCAGTTATCCTCATTTTTAGAAGAGGAAAATAAGGCTCAGAGAAATAAAAAGACCTGTCCATTGCCACACAGAAAATAAAAAGCATAAGTGGGACTAGAAACCATTTTTCCTGAGTTCTAAGGTAGTGCATTAACGCCATACTGTCTCTCTTTAAGGATAAAAAAAATTTTAAAAGAGGGTGATATTTTTTTAAGGGGAGATGAATTGCTAAATGGTGGCACCAGTGGGAATAGGGAATGGTGCCTTGAAAATACGAGATACTACTAGATGAATGTTTGTTGAATTGAATGGGGCCACTTGGGTGCAGGAAGGTGGCTCCAGATTACTTTGCATACATTCTGTCTAATTAGTTGTAAGGAGAAAGAAAGAAAGAGATGATTCAATATTTCATTCTTTCTCCTAAGAGGCCTGGAGTATGGGAAAGTAGAAGAAAGGTAGAAAATAAAGAACAGTCCAGCCTCTCCTGCCAACTGGTAGCTTTTGTTTTCTTAGGCAAGGAGTAGCAGCAGTGTCAGGAGTATCAGCTGCTGGAACGAAAAGAAGAAAGGGAGAAGAGGTGAGCAGTTTCATATGGAAAATCAAATTAATTTTACCTTTTAAATTAATACAATACAGCAATAGTTGTGGAGGGAGTTGAAACTCCTCCTTGGGTTGTATCCCCTAAACTTTCCTGTTCTTGCCTTCAGTGTGAACATTAACCTATTTATACCAAACATTGGAACTAGTTTAATTAAAAAATAAAATACTCCAGTAAGTTCATTTCTAGGAATTATTTACAATGCATGTATCAGAGGGCAGGAAAAAAAGTATGCAAGTTACTTCAATTATCCAAGAAAAAGACCTCCTTCCAGGGCTTTTATTTCTGAAATAGCTTTATATACCAAATTGAAAAGTGCCTTTTTTTCTTAGGATGGTCCCAAATGACATACATGTCACAAAATCAGGTCTTGGGTTATAATGGATTTACTGAGTTTGAACCAGGAGATTTGAAGCTAAGTCATAAAGTGCACATATTAGCAAGATACTGTAAACCCAAAAAATAGAAGGAACTATTGGGTAAATGTACAAAACAAGCAAACAACTGAAAAACAGCCCCACAGAGGAGCCCAGATTAGAATTTATTGATTTTCATGAATAATAATATATCATATTTACATATCCCCTTAAGATTTGCAAAGTATTTTACCTAAGAGATCTAATTTGAGAGTCACTACAATCCTGTAAAGTAGGTCTCTTTATAGTGTCCATTATACAGATGGGGAAACTAAGGATTTACCCAGTTAAGTTATTTAAGTTAAGTGATTTACCCAGAGTCACATCCCTAGTAAGAAATCTTCACCTTTCCAGCCTACTTTTTATGCACAATGCCACACTAACTCATGATATGAACTAACTCCCAAGTGCCTATATAATGCTCAAAGAGACATCTAGGAAGCTGAGAAGAGAATGTCATGATAGCCGCATCCTCCTCTAAGTGGTGATTAATTGTAGTGGGTAGTAACATGACTGACACCTTACCAGACACCTTACCTGGCATATAACTCCCAGGTGTTTTCTAATTCTAAAGACACCTACAACGTCTGGATGAATCATAAATAAGCCCAACTATAAAACTTTTTTTTTCTTTTGCACTTTCTAGTTACAATTAAGAGAAGCAGCTTGTATAGATGGTAGAGAGCTAGCCTCAGAGTCAAAATGAGGATTCAGGGACCACCTCTGACACATACTGGCTATGTAATCTTGGATAAATCATTTAATCTCTCAATGACCCCAGAAAACTAAAGGCTATAAATTGCAAAATAATTGCTGATCTAATTTGGTAGAGGGTGATACTTTATCAGGGGGCTTCCTGTGCTAAATACTGAAAGAAACAAAAATTAGTACCAATCTGCTTAAGATATGTTTTTTTAAAATTTAATACTTTGAGTCAAATAATCTTAAAGTCTCCTCTTGTTTCAACTATAATAATACTTGTACTATCTATTTATCTTACAGGATATATAGGGGGTTTGGACTTAAGCAAACTTCCCATGGAGCAGGGCATGCACACTGGCCTCATCTATTGAGAGATAAACGCTTCTGACCCCTGCCCAAAGGACATGTCTGACCAGCGGCTTCTTGTTGTGTCCCTGCATGGTCCTGTGTCTCAGGGTTGTGTCGAAAGTGATTGGCAATTGAGCTAAGAAAGACTGTCATCCCCCCTGCCCCAGAGGTTAGAAAAACTAGAAAAGCTGCCTACTTCTCCTTTAGGTCTTGCCTGGCTTGGAACACAGCTCTCCCTTTGATTTACAGGAAGATTCCTCTCATCACTACCTCCTTCCAACTGATAACTATGAGCAAATGGGAAAGAGAATATGTACCTACCTTGATAAGCCCAAGACTGGACTTCAAGTCCTCAGAGGATAGTTTCTTCTTTATGGTTTTTACCCTAAGCATGTAGGACCAAACAACAATCCTGAGAGATGATTTTCTTAGACTTGAGGTTCCTCGATAACTATCTTGTGAACTTGAGATGTCTAGGGTTTTTGAGTTGGTGCCAGGTTCCCAATTGGAGGCACTTTGCATAACCATAAAACTTTTTGGAGGAAAAGACAAACAATTGCCGGGGGAAAACACCATGGGGGTACTGTAAATGAAAGGACTAAAATACTCTTTTTTTTTTTTTTGCTGAGGCAATTAGGGTTAAGTGACTTGCCCAGAGTCACACAGCTAAGGACTAAAAAATCTTAAGTCATGCCCTGGCTGGAAGATTGGTGTTTCTGGTGCAGTCAGTGTAGGTCAAGGTCTGTTTCATCGACCCACAAAGTATCTTTACCTTTTGAGAGAATAAAATAAGGGATGGATTATTGTTTCAAGTACTTGTTCATTCATGAATATTCTGTGTTTTAAGCATTTCTTTGGTGGTAGAAGAAATTAATAGCTATCCCATACTTGACATCTACTTTCTATACTGATTATCTTTTCTCAAAGGCACTTTGGGGAAGGCCCTAGATAGGTGTCATAAAGGGCAGCAAGATGTCACAGTAGATAGAGTGCTGAGAGTCAGGAAGATTTATCTTCCTGAGTTCAAATCTGGCCTCAGACACTAATTAGCTTGTGACCCTGGGTAAGTCACTTCACCCTGTTTACCTCAGTTTCCTCATCTATAAAATGAGCTAGAGAAGGGAAATGGAAAACCACTCCAATATCTTTGCCAAGGAAACCCCAAACGGGATCACAGAGAGTCAGACATAACTGAAAAACAATGGAACAAGAAGACAGGTGCCATATGTAGGCATTATTTGAGAGATTTTCCCTGGAACTCCAGGGTGGAGGCAATGGGGGGGGGTTAATCTTCTACAAAACTGAGCCCAGTCCATGTGGATCCAAAGCTGGAGCTGCCAGTGAGAGGCAGCACCCCCAGGCCACAGGTCACATCTGTAAAGTTCTTTGCTAACCCTAAAGCACTATGTAAATGTAAGCTACAGTATTATGATTATTTCCCCTTTCCAAAATGGTACAACTGCCTCAACAAAATTCATAGAATGAGAGAGCTGCGCTAGATCAGTTAGGAACATTAGCATTCAAGGAATGATAATCACAGAAAAGGCAAGCAGTGATCACTATCCCTGGAGAGTTTTTACAGGGGAGTATCCCTCACCTTGAGCCAGATTGCACTGAAGTTGCTTTTAAATACATCAGTTCATTATCTAACCACATTTGAATTATTAAACGGACAAATAAATTGCATTGGTGTAGTGATTCTAAAAGATCCTTCTGAAGGACATCTCCCGGCAAGGGAGCTGCAGAGGGCTTTGAGTGAGCCTATGAAGATCTAAGAAGGTATAATGGCTGATGCAGAGTCACATGAACAAACAGCTTTACCTACTTGAGCTGGGAACCAGGGTTGACTTTTTATGAAGCCAGGTTGGATGGAAGGAGGTAGAGTAGTTACTTGCAGTTTTTCCTTCTGATGAGATTTGTCCTGCTCTACAGGGGGAGGAAATGGCTTCTGTTTATCGATTTTAACCTAATAGCGAATCAGAGCACAGAGAAATCGGTTCACCCATGTTTAGCTGAAAGGCATTTTCCCTTTTTTAAAAATCTATATGAGTTTGTTTTTCTATATTCTTGGCAGCTAGAACACTGTTAAGGACTCTCCTAAGCACGCACCCTGTCTTTGGTACCTGCAAGAAAGGGGGATGAACCATGGAGATGTGCTAATGGGAAAGTCTGCTAGTTTGCAAGCTGCCAACTAAAATGGGCGTTGATAATGAAAAATCCCTGGCAAATATGTGAATGTTTTCTGAAGGTTATTGACCAGTACCAATTTTAAGTTTTTTGACATTCACAAAACCAGGGTCATATACACTCCGAGTTCGACTGTTCGCCATCTCTTTGAAAACCTAGGTGGTGCGATGCTGCCCTCATGTGGTCAGTTTCTCATTTTGATAGAAATCTCTACTATAAGCAAGTTTTCTGGCATGTGATCAGAAAAGAAGTGGGTAGTTTTTCTTAAGAAGCTGATGGAAGGTCTCATCACTTCATGCTCCTGCCTCCTAGAGTCACTGTTCCTTCAAGTTCTATTTGCACTCTCAAGTTATAAGAAGGCAATGACCTTCACTTTTGTTTAGGTAATAATAAAAGTTCACATTTACATGGCACATTAAGATTTTCAAAATGTTTCACATACAGTATATGGTTTCATTTGAGCCTTCAAATCACCCAGTGAGGTAAGTGCTATTAATATCTACATTCCAATAGAAAGTAAGTGGCAGGAGCTATCAGATTATTTTTTTCATTTCTGTCCCAGTAGTTAGCACAATGAAGATATTAGATGTTTCATAAATACTTTTTTGATTGATTGATTTTATGAGGAAATTAAGACTGAAAGATGTTAAGTGACTTGCCTGGGGTCATACAGCTAGTGGGATACAAACCACATCTTTCTGACTCTAAATCCAACATGCTAGTATGCAAACATTACACCGTGCCAAAATAAATCAATTAATCCACAAGCATTTATTAAGCACCTGCTACTTGCTGGGCACTGTACTAATCCCTGGAAATACAAAGGAAAGCAATTTATAGAATCATTATTGGAAAGGATTTTACAGATCATTCAATCCATTTGCCTCCAGTTGAGGAAACTGAGGCCCATTAGGGTGAAATCACTTCCCCAAAGGCACACAGGTATTTAAAGAAAGACCTGGACTTTTTGACTCATAGTTTAATGCTCAGTATACTCTCCTGCTAACTTGGTTCCTCTAAGACAAGATTTCCTAAACTTTGCTTGATAAGAAACTATTTTTAGCCTTATGATAAGAAGATAGGTGGTGTTGCTGACGTAAGTATAACTATTCATTATAGAATCACAGGGCTAGGAGAAAACTCAGGAGGTCAGATAGCCTAGTCTCCTACTTCAGGTGGGTCAACACATAACCCATTAAATATAGATGATTGTGGTGTCCTATTCATATTTAAATACTTTAGGGTCAACTTACTTCTAGCTAAATTTTCTCAGGTTGTAGCTTAGGTTTATTTTCTCCTTTACTCTCTCCTCTTTGGAATGTGAAAGCAATTAGTCAGTATTCAGAGATGAGATTAAGGAACAAAAACTTGTCCATCAAGGGATCTAAGCAGGATGTACCAGAGGTAAAACTATGAAGTAAGCAGTCTTCTCTCACCTTTTTCATAGAAACATATTTTGAGGATGGAACTTGGAATATACCTGGACTAAGTTCCACTTAAAGCACGACTTCTAAGAGAAACATTCCTGAAAGATGGTAATGCAGCTTCTACAGAAACAGCTTAAGTGACAGGGAATTTATTACCTCATGAGGCAACCAATCCTATCACTAGACAACTCTAACTGTTGGGAAATTCTTCCTTACATTAAATTGAAATTTACTGACTTAATTTCAATCCATTGGACCAAATTTTATGCCCTCTATGGTCAAGCAGGATGAGTAATTCTTCTTCCACATAATCATCTTTCATATGTCTGAACATAGTGATCATAGCCCCCCTAAGTCTTCTCTCTTTGCTTAAGGATTCTGATCAATAAAATGAAATCACCCATCATAATTTTAGAAGACCAATGATGAAGCAAGCTATCCACCCCACTCTGCACTTAGCACAGTGCTTGCCATGTAGTAGGTGCTTAATAAGTGCTTATTGACTGACTGATCTCCTGTCAGAGGGGTAATGTATTAAAGGTACAGAAAGAAGTACATTTTTGGACAAGGCCAATGTGGGAAGTTATTTTACTTGACCATATGTTTGTTACAAGGATTTTGTTCTTTCTTTTTCAATTGGGGATGAGTGGAAGAGAGAGATGCTTAATAATTTGAAAAATAGAATGGAGATAGTTTTTTTTTAATCTTCCCTTTTCCAGGCTTAAAATTCCCATTTTCTTCCATCAATACATAGTACATATAAAAGTATGACAAGGTTTTGATTCCTCTTGTCATTCTGCTTTCCTTCCTCCTTACATATTCCAACTTCTCATTTTTTTTTCCTTAAAATGGGGAAACTACAGCTTAACACAGCATTTCATGTGTGGCCTCACCAGGACAGAGGACTACCACATCCCTTATGCACATGATGCTTCCCTTATCCAAGACTGAGATCACATTGACTTTTCTTGGCAGCCATATTGCAATGCTGACTAGTTTATGACACATCACAGGCCATAGATCTTTTTCACTTGAATAGCTAGCTGCATCACCATATACTGCACCTGTATCTTTATTTTAACCTAAATACAAAATGATACAGGCATGAATTAGCAGCTTTGTTGCCTGCCACCCAGGCAGATAGCATACACTTCCCACCTACCCATGGGTGCGCACGTGCGCGCGCGCACACACACACACACACACACACACATACACACACACACACACACCTGTAGTCTCAGGCTCTATCTAGAGAAAGAAAAGCCAATTCAGAAGCAAGCAACAGCTGTGAAGCTCAGATGCTAGGAGCAGAGCAGAGTATCAGTTTCAACTTCAAGTCCATTCTGAAGCCTACAGAGGAATAACCACAGCAGCAATCCCAGATCAAAGGGGAACCTGTAATTCTGTAACAGAACCAGCAGAGCTTTCCAGCTGGCTGATAGAGGATGACTTCCAGCAGCAGTCTACTGTTGCTCTGATACAAACCCAGTTAAGGAACTTGCAGAGCTCACACCAGGAAGCCAGCAATCACACTTTGACCTGGATCAGACCACTTTGGAAGCACTGAAAGCTTACAGGTCCTCAGCCTGAGCTGTCCCTGAGATCCTGGAATAAGACAATGTTCAATACCCCAAGAAATCAGCAATAAGACCAGCCCAGACTTCTCCTCCAGAAATGCCCAGTGCCCAGCCCTCACATTAAGTCCAAAGTCCGGAGATAGGCTGGAAAATGAGAAAAAAAAAATTATACCATGGAAAGCTATTATGGTGTCAGGGACACTCAAGACACAAATCCATAAGAAGAGAATGATTCCAAAACATCTACAAGCAAAACCTCAAAGGAAAAAAACACTTGGGCACAAATTCAACTAGAATTTCTATAAGACATGAAGCAAGCATTTTTTAAAGAATTTAAAATGTATTTGTAAATGAAATAAGGTCATTTGAGGGGAAAAAATGGAAAAGAAATGAGAGCTACAGAAGAAAGAATTGGAAATTGAATTAACAACTTGGCACAAGAAGTACAAAACCTTGACCAAGTAACAAACTCCTTAAAAATTACAATGGACAAAATAGAAGCCATTGACTCCATGAGACAATGAGAGATATTAAAACAAATTCAGAAAACTGAAAGATATATGACCTGGAAAACAGATCAAGGAGAAAAAAATTTTTAAGTCTTCAAAGTACCTGAATGCCATGAACAACAACAACAATAACAAAAGACTCTAGACATTACATTCCGAAATATTCAACATTGCTTAGAACTGGAAGACAAAGTAGAAATAGAAGAAGTTCCCTGGTCACCTCCTGAAAGAAACCCACACGATGAAATTCCTAGGAACATTAAAGCCAAAATTCAGAGCTTCCAGATTAAAAAAAAAAATACT